TAAGTAAGGAAACGGAACGTAATAGTAAAAGTACGGTACCCGTTAACCGTACCGAACCTTACGTTGTCGGTGTCGATTACTGCGTACGTACACCACACCACCACCACATATATATATACACACACACACACACATATATATATATATATATATATATATAGTACGTTTGAAAGCGATAAGCAAAGAACGATAGTGAACAATTGCGCGAGATCATGACGATTCATCATTGTGAGATGCGGGGATATACAGACATTAAAAGATTATATTGGGTTGTCCGAAAATGAGGTCACACAATAAAACAGTCAAGATACGAGATAGTCCGGTTGGCCTCGTATTTGTGAAAGGCACAATTCAGCATCACTAACGCGTGATACATAGTCAAAGCAGCGAAACGTTCGTCTTCTTCAACTGTATATACCACAAAGTCCCACACGCATACACACACAGACACAGACACAGACACAGACACACACAAAAGCGAAACACATCATGAAGAGATATATCCCCCCCCCATTCTTAACCTGCCACCAATGAGCTGTACCCTCAATCTCACTTACTCGGGACATTTGCCTTGCCCTCGGCCAGGTGCTCGAAGTTTGTGTAGTAGTTAACCTCCAGCGCCTCTGGGATCGACCAGTTCTTCAACGCCACCCCACCCGGGTGCGTGTATGCTTCAATACCGCCTCGACTCATACTCCCACTCGTATTCGTACCGTTATGTACACTATCATTCATGCCTGTTTGGCCGTCGGCATATCCACTAAGCCCTGAGCTCATACTAGCACTCCCCACTACCCCCCTCGCGGAACTCGAGGGTCCGAAACTAGAGCCACTGCCAGCCGGAGACCCGCCGAAACTCCTACTCATCGCAAATGCCTGTGGTTGAGGTTGGGCTTGGTTGAGGCTATTCTGGGAGCCCGAATGGTGTTTCGGCGGTGTGTGTGCCATCGTGCGTGGACCCGTCGGCATGGAGAGGTGCTTGCTGCCTGACTCAGTCATTGGTTGACTGGTGGTGCGGTTGAGGGTCTGGTTGCGGTCTGTCCCTGTCATGCGTACCCCAACAACAGGCTTCGTTTGCGAGCCAGTGCGTCTGTGCGTTGTGTTGTGAGGTCTGGATGATTGGCTACTTCTGTTCGGTTGGAATGGGTCTGTTGATGGGGTGTCGGTCTTTCTCTCGTCCGTATTCGAGCGTGCGCGGGGCACGGGTTCACCCGATACGTCATTGCTACCACGGTACCCCGGAAACAGGACCTTAGTCACGTGGGACTCTGATCTGGGTCTGTTTTCATTGGTTGGTTTTAGATTAGAGTCATTCCCATTGGTTGTATTTGCCACAACCGCTCCGGGGGATCTTTTTGGAACACTTGGAGCTGGGGGTGCGGCTGTGTTAGCTGAGCGTGGGGGTGCTGTGCGTGGTTTGACTGGTTGTGCAACTGAAGTCTTGATTAAAGGACCGGTCTTTGGCAGTGAAGGCGGAGGCGTCGCCTTGGCTGTGTGTTCGTATCGATTTAACATGAATTTCAACGAAGGTTCAAGGTCTCAGTTGGGATTATAGGAAGAAAATCTGCTTGCGATACCATCGAGTGGTTAAAATCGAAAGTGCGTAAGCACACACACACAAGCGTACTCATCCACACCCACCCACATACACACATATATCTAAATACACAAACACACACGCACACACGCATAAGTTTATACAAACTCACACACACACACACACACACATAAATCTACACACACACATACATAAATCTACACACACACAAACACACAAACACACACACACACACACATACATACATAAACACACATACATAAATTTACACACACACAAACACACACACACGCAACTCCACAGACATACGCACGTGCAGATGGCAATGGACATACCTGAGGGTAGCGTGGGGAATTCGGCGTCCGGCAGGTCTGCATATAGTTTAGTATGTAGCTAGTTTAGTCTGTAGTTAGCTAAGTATCTGTTTATTTTAGTCTATAGCTAGTTTAGATTAAAACCCTAGAACCCTGAAGCGTAATTGCGTAAGCAAAACAGGATACACCGACCAAGACAAGTAAACACACACACACGCACAGCTAGATACCCCATCAGAACGCATCACAAGACTCGCATGCAAGATACGTTATCGATGTCAGACTAAGGATAGTTCTTATGATGATGTGATGACAGCAACAACCCTTCCAACACAGCTAAATGATTGCAGATGATAGATAGCGGCTGCCTGTACGTACCCCCGTCCAGGACCTCATCGGACGGGAGATCCATCTGCGCCTGCGCTATTAAACGAATGGCTGTGTATACTTGTGTCCTTGTGGCAGACTCGGCAGCCGAACCATTGGTAGCTGCACTCCATATCTGCCATGGATCAAAGTCACTTCGAGAATTGAGATCACTTCGACGTATAAGAGTACGCTATATATATATATATATATATATATATATACTGTCTATAGTGGTGTATTACGTAAGTACGTAGTAGGATAGTATAGTATACTAATTAGTATATACACGAACATATAGTAAGTAACAAGAATATAACTATAGTATAGTAAATAGTA